ACCAGATGAATGAAGTATTCATTCATAGTATCTTGAAGCCCATACGATCGTCCCAAGTCTTCCACGAGTTTTTTGCTGTTGCGTCGTTGAGCTGTGCGCCAGATCTCCCGAGTGCGTCCACGAGTCACAGTCCAATCTCGTATACGCAGTTCGGCCTTCATCAGGAAAGCGCTTTTAGCAGAGACCACACATAGAAGATACCAGGTAAATCACCTTTTGCCCATGTGCGTCTAGACCCAAGAAGTTCCGAACATACTCTTCGGATTGTTTTTCCACCTGGCGATCCACTTGAAGTTCACACATTCGACACGGTGTCAACGTGTTTGCTGGATTCTTCGTGTTGCATATTTCAGCATGCATTGGCGAATCGCCTAGGTGGCCGAGGATGACCACCATGGCACACACGTCCTGGCCCAGTGTATGATCACACGCGGTGAAACCGTTTCTACCTAAATCACTTTGTTCCACAATAGTTAGCATCCAATAGTTGCTATTTGTAAATGCACATCCACTTACTTGATATCATCGACTACCTGGTCAAACAATTCCAGCGCGGATGCACAGTTCGTCGTAGCCAAGAAATGAATGTTGTAATCTTGATTCGACCAAATAGGAGGCAATCCCGAGAGGGTGAAGTAAATGCTCATATGTTTGTTGTATTTTTTGGAAACGTTGCCTGAGGTATCGTCTGAGTATATTGTCAGTGGTACGTGTCGGATGATTTTGCCTTGCGCTTTGGTCCTCCATGGATTGACCATTGGAACCAATTGAACTCCCCGTGTGGTATGCTCTACACAAACTTATGACGTCAGTCGTTTGGTATCGTGACTCAGAGACCAACGGCTTTGACTCACGATACATATGATTTCCGCATGAGTCACTGAGACGAGTACGGTTATCCAGCTTCACCGCGTCAAAGGTCCTCCAAAACATGTTGACATTGAGTGATAACAGCTCGGGTGAATCGAAGGAGGTCTCCTCTTCGAAGGATATATTATAAGCCGAGCCGAGTAAAGGATCCTGGGCCACCACCGCCCGAAGGCATTTGGCCATGGTTTCTTCATCTTGCTGGTAGAAAAAGATGGGTATGATTAGTTGACCGGATGTAACCTGCACAGGCTCGTATATATAAAAGTGCTTGGACTTTGAGGTGATCATTTGCACTCGGAGGTGAGGTGGGTACAACTCTCGCCACTTTTGGCACTGCGAGAGACGGTTGACGGGACCGTGGACAGGTAGCTCCGGAATGAAAACCAGATGGGGGCTGATAATTGGATTCGCCAGCTCCTAGAAAAAATGAGGCCAAACTTAATAACGGAGTGCGAAACCGAATCACCTTGCATGACTTGGAATCACTTACGCTTTGTACGATGGTCTGCACCCTCAAGCCAAATAACGGGCTGCCCGTTGGACTGTCCCTTGCCGCAATTTCGAGTCCCATTTTGCGCTTTAGTCGGTTGCTTAAAGCTCGTAAAGATCCCCATGCAGGGAGGTCCACGTTACAGATTCGTAAGATGGATCGAATACGCTGGTATTGTAGACGGGATAGGAGACTTCGTGTTGAACCAATGATTAGCAATGCGACGACCTGCTGTGTCATTTGGAGAGACGGCAGGTGTAAATTAGCGGTTTTTCAAATCACATTGTTCTCGTGTACTAACCTCTTTGTTGGTGAATGGGTACCAGCCGTTGGAAACATCTGCTTCAACGGGCTTCACGTTGTCGTCTATGTCCAAAGCATTGGTATCCTCCTCTTCGATCTCCTGGTCGAGCAGGTTGTCCATGGCTTCTAGGGCTTGACGGAGCATTTGAAAGTCCAAAAGGTTGTCGGATTGGCCAGAGTCGGATTCCGAATCCGACAGGGCGTGGCCATTGTGATCTCGAAGAAACGAGAGAGGTGTGAGAGGTCGTTCCGGAGACTCAGGGTCTGGATAGTCAGGTTGATGGCCGTCCTGTTCCTCTGGGTCATCGATTGGGGGGTGTTCCATCGATGAAACTGGTGGGTTTTGGATGGCGGCCAGCATGGCTTCATCATCAATCTGTCGCTGAAGAAGCCGCTGAACTGAGTTGCGATGTGCGGCTGTCTTGATGTGGCCTCGGTAGTCGGCCAGCGTTCGGCTGTTGCATGCAGAGCACCGTATCTGGGGGTCCGCTGGATCCTCGGAACTGGCATAAATGTCTGCGAACAGAATTCGTTAGAGGCTGAATGTCACATGCAAGCTCAGAAAAGTGCTTACATGGGTCTGCGTAAGGGTGTTCAGGGTTGATGCCGGCCATTTAAATGCCGGGTGAAGGCTCGATCGAAGTCGAGGAGTCAAAGCTGGTGCGGGTGTGGTGAATGCTGAGCTCCGGCGTATACAAGGCAAGACGGCCTTTGGGTGGTGATTTGTCGCCTACAGTTGGAATGAGGCGGCCCGGAGACGCTTCGTGTAGAGGCTGTCTGTTATCCGTCACTGACGGTGTGCAGGCCGGGTTTGCTGGCCTTGGGGTGACCTGTAACGTCGAGGTCTTAGGGCGGCCTCTCTTCGAGAGGGGTCGCCTATCGGGGAGCACCAGAGGATTGCCGGAGATTGGGAATGGGATGGGATTGGGATTGGGAGCTGTATGAATGAATAGGCATACAGGGGTTGGTCAACGCCCAATTGGTCTTAACTTTTATTTTGAAACATCCAACAAAGCGCCACACCGTTGGCTTATAGACGTTCAAGACCCCTTTTGAGATATGCAGCTTGATCTTTCATCTTCAGTCACTCGCGTATGTTTGTAGACAAAGTTACCTCCTTTCCAATAATCACCGAGCATTGAGAGGTTGTGCAGTTCCAGTTGTTCCAGAGCAGTAACATCATCGATTCATAACCGCTCCGAACCGACATATCGATTGAAATTATGAGGCGAACAAGAAAAACGATTTGTTTTTTTGACAAAACACCAATGATTCAATCAGATATCATAAGCTGAAGTATCATATTCTCCGTGATAGAGAAGAATCAATGAAAACTCGAATCAAACAAATGAACAAATAACCGAGTAAGTCATTGTTAAAAGCCAAAGAGTAATGATATAGTACAATCAAAAACATACAAGTCCAAACTGGTACAGAGTGTCAAAGGCACACATAGATCGATACCAACAAAGATAACAAAATGATAATCAGGAGGATCAAAAATATCACAAGATCGCGAGAACAACATCAGTCGAGAGCGTACGCTAGAACAAACAGCACCGTCAGACCAATTTGGCCTGTCCAAATTTCAGAGCGCTTTAAGTGAGAGAAACACGATAAAGAAAGTAAAAGAAGACATTTGATTGACTCTCTTCCGATCATTATCAAAGTTGGTCTTGCACTCAGACCGCTCTGATGATGGCGCGTGATCGATGCTTTAACATGTGACAGCAGGTGACAGCGATCGAGGCTTTTTCACCCGGATCTCCCGTAGGTCCTTTCATATGCAACCCTTCCCCACTCCTACTCAACTTAAGTGAGAAAAATCATCCGAAGAGCTTGTAAGACTCTTATTTTGATATGTTCATAGTAGGATGTTTGTATGATCGGTCTGGTCAAGATCATCGAAATGTGATCTAGTCTTATGTCGCGCACTACATAGTTGTACTCAAAATGCATTAAAAACATAGACAGGATGGTTTCTATGTAGGCCAATGGGACGAATGTTTACGAAGAAGATAATTGAGGATAATTGTGTACTGCTCAGTCTAAACCTTTGGACTGAAACAGACTGAAACGTGGCGGTGAGTACAGGCTCATACATCCTATTCCCATTCCCGCGATTCCCAACCTCCGGCAGTCCTCCAATTCTCTGGCCTATCGCCCGCCCTGGAATGGCCAGCTTTCGGACGGGCGGCGTGTCTCAGACCCAGGCGGTCGGCGGACGTTGTGCAGATTCGAATCCTACCCGTGGTGTAGCTTCAGCCCCCCGCGCGGCCGCACGCCCCACCAAATACGACTTGATCACCATGCAGCCTCAACTTTCATCCGTGTCACACCTGAGAATGCAAGACAAATAGAAACGTCTGGACTATCATCACAAAAATGTATCACAATTCTTCATGAAAAACTATCATTGACATATCAGATCACGGACAGACATGAAACATACAAAAAGACAATTTCAGGTCACCATACCACTGGTGAAACTGACTTTGAGAGCCATTTCTGGAGAGAACTTGATGTGACATCAAGAAAACACACATGGATCACTCAGCCCTCACGCAGATGCTCCTTTTAAATTTGAGCGTGAAGTAGTTCATATTGAGAAAGGAAAAAGCCATGCACCCAAGCATCAAGGAAGTGTATTGCTTTGTGTGGGTTGATGTTACAAATGCCAAGTGTTCACCTTTGGTCAACTCTTTCCTCTCACGCGCTTTGTGAAGAAGAAAAGGCTGGGATCAATCCAGGTATAGAGATTAATGCAATAGGTATCTTGAAATTTTACATATCATACATGCAAATGGGCAATCTATAAGGACAAGGTATGTTCCAATACCTACGTCGAATGCCTTCCCATACTGCCTCACCACCATCGACGTTGACTTCATGCCAAACCGTCTTGAAGCCAGCATCATGAAGGTCTAACTCGGCAATCTGAGTATATACATCGTAAAGTGTCACAGATGTTGCTCCAAGACCTGATTGAATTGAGAACAAATTTATCAATGTTTTTGTGATTTCAAGTTTCAAGTAGTAGATATGAAATGAAGCTTTCGAAGAACATACCATGAAACCAAGAAAACCTTGCCTTAGGTCCTGAAAGCATATCAAACACATTATCAAACACGATTTTCAAATCATCATAATTCTCCGAAAATGTATCCCAATAAATCCCATCAAAATTAGCCGCAATTTGACCAGCTTGAACATCGGCAAAAAAATCTTGCCAACGACCACGATAAATTTCAACTCCTTCTTTTTGATGCCAACCTTTTTGTTCCATAAAGCTTAATACATCTGGATGAGCTTCAATGATCACATGTCGATGAGGTTTAAATTTTTGTAAGTATGAATCTACTAAACCTAAACCGAAACCTACGTTTAAGACGCTTAGTTCAAAGGAATCTGAGTTAGGTTGATGTGCGCAAAGTAATTCTGAAGTTTTTTTCATGATTTCATCTTCCCATCCAAGCATCACACCATTCCCTTCACTATCAATACAAACATCTTGACCTGTTGAAGTAGTTTTGTAAGTTAATCTTGAAGCTAAAAAGGTTGCATTATCGGATGCGGTTGATTTTTCATTTCTACTTTGAATTGAAATTGATTCTTCTTCGGTCGATTTTGTTTTTGAATTCAATACTCTTCGTAGCATTTCTGATCGAAGTCCATGCGAGACAATTAATTGATAAATGGGTTTATCATTCATTGAGAATGCTACATCACCGGCTGTCTATCCAAGAATTCAAATCAAAAGTCAGTAAGTATAAAGTTGGTTCTTTAAAACAGAAATCTGGTGAACACAAATTGAGATGACATTTCTCATTTGTTTCTGAATAAAATCAATTCAACTTACATGTCCTAAATGATCTGGCATAGCCCAAAGGGCTCCAGCTTGTAAAAGCTTTTCTACTACTTCTACACTTCCAGAAGTAGCAGCATAATGTAATGCTGTCCAACCATCTTCATCTTGTAATGAATAAGAAGGTAATAAATCATCTTCCAAGATCTTTTTCACTTTTGATATATCAGATGTTTCACATGCTTGAAGTAATTCATAGGCGATTGTTTTTTCTGTGCTCGGTAAATCTCGAATGTAAGTTGATTGGGTGATTGATTCTTGGTTTGGTTCTTCTGCTGCCATCGAAAAATTTCTTGTTAGACTTGATGTTTTGTCTCGCGGGTTCGGTAAGCCTATGCTGTCACACAAAATTTTGTCGAATCGAGCGGCGAGCCTGACGCTTTGAAATTTCACAACTTGCGACATGTAGATCACATCTGAAGCACAGTATGGTTGCTACTGTCAAAGTTCAGACAGATACTGCAAATGCCCAAATCCAATGTTCTCACTCAAAACTCAACATTTTGAACATTTGGGAGCAGATTTGAGATCCTCAGTCTTATGCCTGTGTATATATACCTTTTCTCAAATATTGACCTGCAGTTGGCCATGGGTTGTCCAGGTGTTGTCTTTGAGTGGAGATTGGGATTTGATAATAAAAAAACAAAGGAAGATAAAGAAAAACAAAGTTGTAATCAGATCCTTCAGAGAATCTATAGATTAAAAGCAACCAGGGTGAGCATTCTGGAGATGGTCTTAGGCTCTTGAAATGTTGAGTTTTGAGCAAGAACATTCAATTTGAAGGTTTGGGCTGAAATTCATAAGCCTTTGACAGTAGTAACTATACACCTGGTTTATTGGTGGCAATGAGTGGTGATGGTCCAATCTCACCAGAAGCTCAAAGCACGAGACTTGAACAGCTGGAAAACATTTGGAACATTCCCAAATCTCAATTTGTTCAAAACATGTCAAGGGCTCAAAGAACTTTTCTGCTTGAAGGCTTCTTCAAAGTGGTTCTGAAGGCTATCTAGAGCTCAAATTGGAACAAGTTGAGCTTTCCCTTCTTGTCTGAGCGGGAGGGACCAAGGCTGTTGACAAAACTACAGTGCTGTTCCACTACAAGCTGATCTACATGGTACACAGCCCTGGTCTTCATGCATGACACTGTGAGAAATCAGCAGCAAGGTGCATATATCTCCCTGTGACTAGGTGACTTTAGAGTGAAATCTTGCCACCCACTTCTCTGCCTCTATTTCTCACCAGATTTCACTCAAGTTTCCTCTCCAGGACTCATCTTTGTGTCTACAAAGCCTGATACATGTTAAGGCCATCTCAAATTGACAAATGACACAACCAAACCAATCATAAGACTTCATACCCATAAAAAATCTCAGACATTGAAAATTGCATCAAACTACCACGTACAATGCCATATAAAATAAAAAGAGACTTCAAACAACAATCTAGTTGTCCAGAGAGATTAGAGAATCAACCTACAGCTACCATGTTGAGGAGAAACTTGGCTCTTGATGATTTGGAGACAGATTCAGAGTGATTCACAAGCAGAAGGCTTAGTTTTTTTAGGTCAATCATACGCAGGTGGAAAGAACAGTGAGGCTATTTATTTTTGGAAAACCAGGTATCATAACTAAAATCATTCCTCTAATATTACAGGCAAAAGACCTGGAGACCCAAACATGAGTGCCATGGTCATTGAGGTATCCAAGTAATTTGAGATGTAGATCATTAACCTGTACCGTGAGCCAGTAT